AGGCATTTTATTTTCAGTTCATAATTTCTTTTAAATGTGATTGGGCCAGTTTTCTTGCTTTGTTCTGCTCACTCATTTACTGCTGTGCTAGTTTTGAGTTTGTATGGTTGTATCTGTTGTTAAGCAGGGCTGTGGTGCTGACACTCAGGCTGCACTTTGGGTTATCCAGGCGGTTTAAGCACTGTCCTGTTCATGGGGAACCATAAACAATGAAAGCTTTAAACGGAGCCTCTGTTTCTTGCCCTTTCCTGGAACCTTAAATAAGAGGAGGAAGTATGATTTGGACGCTATCCACAGTCTTCCAAGTCTTCTGCTTTGTGCTTGTTTGTTCGTGGGTTACTCTTCAAAGGTCATGCCAGAGCACTTATCGGGACAGCCCAGGAAAATTATTGGCAGGGTTAGATTGTGAACTCTGACCTGTTCTTCCAGCCTTTCAATGGTAGGAAGGATTAATTAGTCAACACCTGGAACACACCTAGCTTCTGAAAAGGCAGCGGCAAGGATTTTCTTCACTCTGAAGTGATGTTGGCATCAGGGTACCCTAGTCATAGTCCTGTTTTAGTTAGGAAGGGAACTGTGTCAGTCACATTCTGTCACTGTGACAAAGTACCTGCGCAAGTCCCCTTGCAGGGTGAAGTTTCCTTTCTACCCCTGGTTCCAGGCCAGAGCTGACTGGCTCAGTTTCCGTAGGCCTGCAGTGAGAACATCAAGGGAACATGACAGGAGATGATTACCCCATAGTGGCTGGGAAGTAGGGGGGTTGGGCAGGTACCCGGAATAAAAGACGTTATTCAAAGGCACATCCCCAGCAGCCCACTTTCTCCAGTCAGGCCTATCTTCCACAGTTACCACCACCACCACCACCACCACCACCACCACCACCACCACCACCACCACCACCGCTTAGCTTAGCAGTTCTCAACCTGTGGCTCGCAATCCCTTTGGCAAACCTCTGTTCCCCAAAATATTTACATTGTGAGTTGTAACAGTAGCTAGATTACAGTTATGAAGTAGCATGAAATAATTTTATGGTTGGGGGTCACCACACCATGAGGAGCTGTATTAAGGGGTCGCAGTGTTAGGAAGGGTGAGAACCACTGGCTTAGGTAGAATCCTCTTGTCCAGTCACTTCTCTGAAAGGCACCTCTGAACATGGTCTTTAGTCCACAGGAGTAGAGTATACTTCATATCCAAGACACCATGCCACAATCAATCTGAAATGTCTGGAGAATAATTCTGAGTTTTAATATGAGTGCTTACCTCATCAAAAGCAACGTTAGAGGGCTTTGTATTGTCTCAGCCATTCTATTAATACTGTTTTTCTTTAATCGGGCAGTGGTTGTGTTGACCCAATGCTTCTCTGTACTGTTTTATTCCGGTACTTTTTCTGTAAAATGCAGCATACATGACAGTACAGCCGCCTCCATTAGGAACTGGGCAGAGTAGACTCCCAGCTAGAACCACACCAGGGCCCCCTCTTGTCTTCTGGCTCTAATTGTCCTGAAGATGGTGAGGGAGTGGTGGCAGAAATTTAAGAATCCCCCCTTACCCTATTTTTCAGGGATCAGTGAGGCATCTCAAAAATCTTCAAAACCATTTGCTTATTATAGGATCGTAAGTGTTTGTAGGGAAAATACAGGAGAAAGCTAAATACTGCCTAGTCTGCTGTGAATCTAACTACAGATTATTAAAATCAACATTTTGTAATTACATTTAAAGATGTTAGTAGAAAAATCAGTGGCAACAGTGATCCTTCCATGTGGTGATCTGTGAAGGTGGTACTGAGATCAGCGCTGACCAGAAGAGAGCTCATGGCTGTGGCATAACAAGCTCTTCTTTAGAGCTGCGTTTTTGGGGAGTTTGTTTGTTTTTATCGTAAAATTTACAAGCAGAAAGTTTACCATGCTTACCAGCCCCTTTAAATATGCCGTGTGGTGGGATCGGGTGCAACCGCATTGCTGTGTGTCAACATTTGCATCTGATTTGGTCGGTATTCCGTCACTAACAAATGCCCGAGATAATTAAAGAAGTAAGGTTATTTTAGTTCACGGTTCTGGAGGTTTCAGCCCACGGTCAGCTGGCCACACTACTCTTAGTCCTATAGCAGCACAGCAGCATACCATGCTGCAAGCACATGCTGAAACAGCGCCTGGGATGAGAAGCATCTCCTTCCAGGGCACATCCCATGTCTTAGCTGCTGTTCTGTTGCTGTGAAGACGTTATGAGCAGGGCAGCTCTTATAAAGGAAGCATGCAACTGGGGGCTTCCTTACAGTTTCAGAGGGTATGAAGGCATGCAGGCAAGCATGGACTGGAGAAGTAATGAGAGATCCATTTGGATCCACTGGCAGCAAGCAGTTGCTCCTAATGTAAAACAGAAAGATGTCATCCCTTGACCCCTTTCCTGTCTTCTTTGCCCTTTGCCTGCTTTTGCTGCTTTCCCTTTCCATCCTCTGCATTAGGTGTGTACATCTTCCTTTGCTCTTTTGTGAGCATCTTGCTGCTCCCGCACCGGCTCGTCCTGTGTCTCGCCTGGGACAGTTCCTATGTGGTGACTTGATCCTCTCCCCTTTCCTCTTGTCAGCTTACTCAGCTCATTCAGCAGCCACAGCCCTTTGCTTACACGGTTCTCCACCTGAAGGAGACCGTTGCCTATGGCCACTGTCCCCGATCTGACTTCTGTTACTGTACCTGGAACAGTTTACTGAACACATCTATTTCCCACACCATACACTTCTGCCGGACCGTGGACAGCTGCCAGATCTTACCGTCTGGGAATTTCATGTGCCGGCCCCGTACATGGCTCCTACAAAGGGAGGAGTGGATTGAGCAGTGTCACAGATGGCAGATGAGTCACAGTTAGGAAGATCGACAAGCGGCCATTGGGCTCTGCAGAATAGAGATAAGTAGTAACCTTTGCCGGAGCTTTTTAGCTGATAGGCCCAATGGGGAGGATAGGGAGCAAGGTATAAATGGGAAGGTGGGGAGGTGGAACAGGGGGATGACCAGGACAAGGAATGCAGGTACCACTAGCCACAGGGGACAAGGGTCTGCGGTGCCATCTGATTGTGTGTCCCTGGGATGAGCATGGTGGCCCCTGTACATATTCCTAAAATGACTAACACGTGAAGAAGGCGGGGCTCCAGCTTGTGTTTGACCACATTGAGATCTGTTTGGGGAAAGACCTCTTTGCTCCTAGAAGCTCTTGCTATCTCTTGTTTACTGTTTGCCAAACATCTGCTTTTTAGTTAAAAAACAAAACAAAACAACAACAACAACAAAAAACAAACAAGCTTTTTGAGTAGGCGAGTCCCTCCCTGTCATTTGAGTCTCTTAAATTTCAAACACAGTGTCCTGTGTATAGCAACGTTTCAGAATAAATCCAGAGTTTGATGGCTTTTTTTTAATTTTTGACATCTAAATTACAAACTACACGTACATTTCAAGTCACACTAAGACAAGATTGTTTAACTCTTGATAGTTTACACGTGAACGAATTGTAAGAGGCAGGCGTGCACCCCTTCTCTCCGCGGTGGTTCCCGCTTTGATGCACGCTTGGGCCCGCAGCTCCTTGGCTCGGTGCTTTCAGATCTAACATTTACCTTCACACACCTCTGGGCAAGGCAGTGCTATGGAATATTATCACCTTGCCGTGCACAATTTAACGCTTACAAGTAGTTTCTGGGAGTTTCTGTCTAGTTGTAGAACCAAAGTTGACCTCCAGGAGCTAAAACTATGGCCAGGCAAAGTGGCTGGGGGAGGGCTTGCCTGGGGGAGGACTGCTAGTGTGTGTCTTTGCTGTGAGGGGAGAACAGAGCTGGCTCAAGGTGTCCTGCTGGTGTAAGCAGCCGCGAGGCAGCGAGGACTGTGGGCCAGCATTTGCTTCTTCCTGATCAACCTAATGGGATCACAGTAAGACTCCACGCATTGAGCTGAGTGCTAGCATGCAGTAGGGAGAAAGCAAGCCCAAACCCCTTGCTTCCGAGTTGAGCTGTAGTTCAGATGTAGCAGATGGGAGTTCAGCACTAACACACATCAAGCGGGTTGTGCCAGCCTTGTGAGGCAGGTTTCCGAGAGGGGGTGGGGTCATACGGAAAGTCGTTGACCACCTGAATGGTGCTCTACCGTAGACAGAGCCCTCCTGTAAAGACATTTTCTGGAGAGTGAGTGGCTACTGCTTTGAGCCCAAACAAACTATTAAATAAGGAGTCTGAAAACTGGGGTTCAGATCCTAAGACCCCACTCGAAGAGCAGGAGGTTATTAACACGCGTGTTGATAACCCAGAGCCTTGTCTCACCTTCCCAAAGCATCCTGGAGATGCTCAGAGGAGATTCGGGCTGTGAAAGTCTGGGCAGTTGCCATGGATGGTACCGGAGTGAATCACCATCGCGGTCCCCAGCAAGCAGATGGCTCTCTTCTGAGTGCTTCGGCAACTGGGACTGTGGCGTTTCCACCTTTACACCACCTGCCTGGTAACTGATGTAAGGACACCAAGAGTTCACATGAATCCTGCCAGGGCAGCGTTGGCACATGTGGTTTTAAATTACCTTTCCTTTTGTTACTGCAGGATTTGATGTGACTTAAACTTCTGATAAGTGTAGCCACTGTAGATCTTCCATTATGCATGAGTTTTTAAAATTGAACCTTTTGGGGGTAAGCTATAGTTAAGATGCCTTGAGAAGGAAGAGAATAGAAATTTGGGGGTGGGAGACGACTGCATATGATTTCTTAAAGAACTCAGCAATCTTTGGCTACCTCTAAGTATATAAAATCAGTTTAATTGTAACTTTATATAAGTGTACATCTGTCACATAAATCCATGTGAGCCGCTGTGGGAGCGGGTTCTCTGAAATCCCTGAGGAGGTGTTTGCGGATGGATTGTGAAAGGACAAAGTAGGCAGCTTGAGTTTCACAGCCCGAGGCTTTGAGGGAGATATTTGTTGTTAGTGAAGCCTTGCACCCAAGTTCAGTCCATTCACCATGAGCCTGTTCTGTGACAGGTTCCGAGTCCGAGGGGTCCCTGACTTGCCTGGAAGCTGTGACAGCACACTCCTTTGAAGAGAACGACGTGCCCGTGAGCAGTGGAAAACACAGAATGTCCGAAGGAAAAGATTGTGGCGGGGGAGATGCGCTCTCCAACGGCATCAAAAAGCACAGGTACGGTGGACGGTGGACGGCGGCCTGGGCAGCAGCAGTCGCTGGCGCACGGCTTGAGGGAGCGAAAACGAGTGCTGTCCTCTACTTCCTCCCCGGTGTTGGGTGTTTGTGTTGTTTGCTGTGCCTCTCCAAGGCAGGGCCACGCAGGAATCCTCTTTCTTTGTCTGCTTAAGTGCAGGGCAGAGCACAGGCCTGCTGCAGCAGCCGGGCTTTCTAGAGCCGCCCTTGATTGGAGTAAGGTTCTCAGAACCACCCATTGAAGCTGATGCTCTGCTCCCATTTCATCATTCATCTTTCATGACTCTGCCTCCCAATGCTATTTTGGTTCCTGGTCATTTGATCTTCTTGTTGGTTTTAAGAGTGAATAGTAATGTTGCCAACCTGCTGTCACAATCTAGTTAAATTTAAACAAAGACTGTTCCTAAGGCCAGGATTTGCTGAACACATCCATTTTACATGCTCTAATAACATTAGTTTGGTTTTATTCCCCTGATGGGCTAGTGCTAGAGATAATCTGAAATGACAAGATGTAACAGACACCGCAGTTCTCTGGTTTCTGACAAGTTCACAGACAGCGTGGTAGACTGCTTGTTGATGTTCATGAGAGACATATTTTATAAAATTACCAACAAGAAAGATACCACGTTTTCTTTGTAAGGACATGCTAATGGTTAATTTCTACAGAACAGTCTTCTGTGTGTTCATACTATAGATCATATAACACCATGATTCTGACCACAATTGCCTCAAGCATTGTCCAGGACCAGTGTGCACACCAATGCTCTGATGTGTGCTTCCCCTTGTTAAAAACGTACCTTAGTTTGTATTTCTTTTTAGAATATAAATAGATTTTAAGATGTCTTGAAAAGTCATGTGACCCTTAGGAACTAGCTGGATGAAAACAGCTTTCTTTCACTGAGTTTGTTCTGTCAGTGTGGTCCACTGATACTGGTGGTGTGGCTGGTGGGGAGTGTCCTTCACAGCTCTTTTTTGCACTTAGCACTAGTATCTTTGGAACACAGGACTAATGTGTGTCCAGGACATGAAACACCTACTAGTAAATCCAACATGCCATGCATGTGTCTAAGAGAAGACAACCTTTTAGCAAACACATATGTATTGTTCTCAGTGAGAAAACAAGCAAAATATTTGGGAAGATCAAAAATGAATGAGTTCTTAACATAGAGTTACTAAAATACCCAAGTGAGCACGGTGCCTGGTCCCAGCAGCTCCCAGTGCCGTGGCCTGTGGGATTCCCTTCTGACCTTTCACCCTTCTGCGTGTGCACTGTCAGAAGACAGCAGCTATTTTGTATCCAGTGTGATTTTACTGTACTAATGTATTCTGTTCTCAGTCAGACACAGAAGGATACAAATATGCAATTTGGAATTGTTCAGAAAAGATCAACTCCCGCCAAGTCTTAGGGAGAGGAATATAAGTAACTAGAGACCTAACCAGAAAAGTTACATTTATACAGCAAGATGCATCCTATTACAATTGTAACTGTATGACACACTCTTCTGTTACTCTGTTTTATCAAAAGTGGAGAAGTTAGGAAATTGTCATAAGCCTAACAATGGCCTGTTTGGGAAAGGTAGCTTTGACAGGAGGCTTTCAAATGCCTGTGTTTTAAAAGGCTCCCCTATAGTCAGTGGATATATGGGTATATGTGGATTACAATTTTTTTAAAAATAAGAAGTGAGAAATTTTACTAATTATAAACCCAGCTTAACTGATATGCTGATAATTTTTAAAAGTATTTCAACCATTTTTCTAATATTTCATGAAACTTTTTGTCCAGTAGAAATTTAATATAAAAATGATTAAAATCTCAACGACATTCATTAGACAGTCCTTCCTCCCCTCCACACACACAGGATGTACATAGTCGGTATGTCAGTGCTCAGCCTCTCCACGCTGTGGTTGGTTACATTGGCAAGGCTTCTGGTCGTCCGGGCCGGATTCCAAAGGAGCAGTTCTCCGTACTTGCACCTAATTTCTTTGAGCTCTGATCTTTTAACTTGCAGCACCTTTTCCCAAATAGTTCCCTTAGTTCAAGTTTTAGCTGTGGGTTCAACATGTCACTCAATATAAAGTAACAGACACAAAGCACAGAGTCAGCACGTGCTGGCCCCAGGGGAGGTTCTGTGAATGTCATTCCTGTCTCAGCAGCACCCGCAGGTTGGAGAAGACACACGTGGTCCTTCCTGGTGATGACCTTACCCCCATTAGGAAGCACTGCAGGAAACCCCAACAGTGGAGACACTCCGGTGTCAACCCACAGGAGATGCTTAGTGGTGAGACGTAAGACAATTACAGCATCAGAAGGTGGACAGGGTTCTTGACTCATTCATTCATTCATTCATTCATTTTTTGTTTTTTACTTTTCTTAGAGCCCATAGCCAGAGACACAACACAAAAAAACTTGAGAAATAAAATTGTCACTATCCACAGATGGCATATTTGTCTACATAGAAGACATATAGTGTCCATAAAGAAGTATGAGAGTTAGTAAAAATATTTGGCAAGGTTGTTGCATACAGAATTACATTTTTGTAAATTATCAACAGAGGAAAAGAAACATTTAGAGCATCTGCTGAAAGTAACAGCCTTATCAATTTTAGCTACTCCTCCCCCAAAAATACTACCCACTCATACAGGAAGAAGAAGGTAATGATACTTATGGAAAATGAACACTCATTGTCATAGAGGTCCTCTTGCCAGATTGATCTGTAGATCTAATGTAATTTTAATTCAAATTATATTCTTTTTCCATGGAAACTAGAGAGTAGGTTCTGAGGTATATATGAAGTAAAAAGGACTTTGAAGAATCAAAACCAGGAGCCAGATCACAGGAAAAGATGGATGCCATTTTCTCTACCAAATGTCAAGGCCTGTGACAGAATACTTAGTTCAACCTCTCCAGGAGCTAGACAGACCTGTAGGCAAGACTCACGAGGAGGAAAGCTGGTCATGTGTAATAAGGCTTGCATGGCAGATCGGGGAGGGAGACGGGGCTTGGTATGGAATGATTATAGTCATCTGCTCTGGGGAGGGGAGCAGTGGGTCTCTCTCCCTATCTGCAGATTCATTTTCTATGGGTTTAAGCTACTATACATAGAAAGTACTTTCAAATGTTGAACTGATTATTCTAACATTTTTTTATCATGTTAGGTATTACAAGTGCTCTGGAGATCATTTAAACATACAGAAGGAGGTACACAGGTTTCTATGCACATAGAACCCAATTTTATGTAGCTGGTGCCAGTATCTGCAGATTTTTATATGAGGAACCAGGGCGCTAGAACTGATGCTCTGTAGATTCCAAGAAATGACTGCACATAATTATAAATTCAGATGAACCAAACACCTAAATGTGAAATTTAAAATAGCTTCATAATTTCAAGGTGGAGAAAGATTTCTCACAACAGAAATGGTAGATTGTTTATTTCATCTGATGGTAATAATTCAGGTTCACTTTCTTGTTGATTTGAGTGACGCTCTTTTTTTTTTTTTTCCCAAGATAGGGTTTCTCAGTGTTGTTTTGGTGCCTGTCCTGGATCTCTCTCCGTATTCCAGGTTGGCCTCGAACTCCCAAAGATCTGTCTGGCTCTGCCTCCCAAGTGGAAGCTTTTTGTCTTAAAGGTGGCTGAGGATCATAGGGTTTGTTATGTTGAGATGGTGGGCAGAACCTCCAGGTAGGCAGCAGTAACCTTCCCTCCCACCATGACAGCTTTTGATGTGAAGTCTTAGGTAGCTGAAGGAACGGAAATGTGGTAACATTTGTGTTCCATAGATGAAGATTTTGTTCTACAGGTTCGTGGACAAGCCGAAGTAAAGAGGTTGAAACATACAATCTATGTCAGTATTTTCCAGAAAGTACAAATACATTGAGAAAATATGAAGTGAAGTATTTAGTTCATATCATATCTCATTGCTGGAGCCATCAGTGAAAGAGCAAGAACTTTGCCCAGAATTAGTCAGGTTTGTAGAAGGGTCTAGGGACAGCAGGAAGCAGCAGTAAAGTCACTGGAGACCGTGCTCTCTTGTGCCTGGAAGGGAGAGGTTGGGATGGGAGGAGGGAGAACAGGGAAGAATCTCAAGCAGTCTGGGCGTGAGGTATCCCATAACCAGCTGGGCACAAACATGTTTCAGGAGCCCACCCTATAGAGTCCTAAGGAACTGCCTATTGTAGCAACTCAGTGAGGGTGATCCTGTTAGCCGTGTGGAGGTTGGGTGAGGGCACTAAGGACTGTGATTTACGCTGACTGTGGCCAGTCAGGAGGTTGAAGGTGTCTGTCCTTGGAGGCCAGTGCCCATGGATTACCTGGAGCTACAGACTGTGATGTACGCTGACTGTGGCCAGTCAGAAGGTTGCAGGTGTCTGTCCTTGGAGGCCAGTGCACATGGATCACCTGGAACTACAGACTGTGAGGTAGGCTGATGTGGCCAGTCAGGAGGTTGCAGGTGTCTGTCCTTGGAGGCCAGTGCACATGGATCACCTGGAAGGGACTGGCAAATTGGAGGGCAACCACTGAAGCACTGACCTCAGACTCAGCAGACCACTCAGGTTACAGGAAATGCATCTGCAAAATGACACCTGAAACCTCTCCACAAGAAGTGGGGGCCAGCTTGCCAGATGGGACTTGTCATGGGGGTTCTGAGTTTAAAACTTATCCTAGGAACAAGCTGGAAGGCCGTGAGGTCACTTGGAGTATGTTAGGAAGGAGAAAAAGCAGGATGGGCCTAAGCTCACCACAGGTCATCATAAGCCTAGCTTGGGCTGTTCATTGGTAGGAATTCCTGTAGGAAAACTGTGCCACCATACCTTGGTGAAGTCACCCATTGCTACGCTGGGCTGAAAAGAAGATATTGGAGAAACTGCTCTTTGGGAGCAGGGCTGGGGCTAGGGTGCCACAGGCCCACCCCTTTATCTTACCCTCCTCCTCCTCTGGTGCTCTTTGTAGCCCTGCGGGGCGGGGGGTGGGGGGGTGGGGTTA